CTCCTCCTCCTCCTCCTCCTCCTCCTTCTCCTCCTCCTCCTCTTTCTCCTTCTCCTTCTTTTTTAACAGCAAATAGTGAGGACCGGTTTTCTGAGGAACCAGAGGCGAAGTCAAGAAATGACATTTGGGCCTGTGTGCTTCCCTGGGCATCTCCCATCTTAAGAAAGCCACAGAACCTTAGCATTTAGCACATCAAAACTACTGGAGCACGTGTCAACTAAAAAGTTTAGGATAAGATTCAGAGGTGTCTGAAGCAGAGGTCCAGCTGGCGGTAAGAAGTTCTGGGAAGGCGGTTACTATTAGATGCAAACCCAGGAACAGACTGATGGTTAAGCTCAAAATATGCTCCAAGGTGGGTAGATGGCCCTGTGCCCACTGGAGCCCTCAGGACCCCAGGAGCACAGTATCACAGGCTGCTGTGCCCTTGGCTCACCAGCTAGTGCAGAGTACCAAGAGCCCACAATGAGTCCTGATGAGGGCCTGCGGATGTTGGTGAGAATCGCACAACAGGGATCCACCTGGAGTCCCTGTGCGGACGCTGACTGCAGTTTTCCCTCTCTCCCCGGCACTAACTGGTTCGTGCTGCACCAGCCCACGTGTGCCTCTCAACTGCACTCATTTTTCTGGGTTAAAGTTCATGTTTCTCACGGAAACTAAAGTCTCATTCTTCTTCCCGCTTTACTGAGCTCTTACTTTGGGTGATGATGGTTTTGTATCTCATTGACTCGAATGTTCTGGGTAATGTGCGTGAAAATACCCTAAAACTCTTCTATTAAACATGCAAAACAAAGTGTGCCTTGAGTATCACCAGAGAAGCACTTATTCTTTCAAAACCGTCTTCCATGTAGAAAAAGAAATGAAAATTTTCTCTCAAATCTTAAGAGTACTACTCTCTTAGAATTCACATGGGGAAGCAGGGGTACAAGCTACATTTTCAACAACTAAGGAAAGTATGTGTTTACACCACAAATGGGAAGGAAGAATTCGGCATTTTTGATTTGATTTCACCTAACAGTGTTTTCATAGTTGTCTCTAAACATGCTAATTAATCAAGCTTTTCCCACAAAGCCACCTCACTGATGATTAGATTAGAAACAGCATTATATGAAGGGCTCAATATATTTAAATCTACAACATACATTTAAATATGGTTTATGATAAAAATGTACTATTTATTTTCTGAGGTATTTGATTGCTGGGATATAAGTTTAAATATGCCAGCACAGCAAACACAGTGAAAAGAAAACACTCATTTTCTTTCCTTTCTACCTTTCCTTATTCCTTTTCTCTTCTCTTTGAAGACTTTCTTCACTTTGTCAAGACCCTAACAAAAAGAACTTCAATTTTTAAGTCTATTAGATAATTAGCTTGATAACAATTTGGTATCTGGTATGAATTGTAACTAACAATTACTATTCCAAATTAGAAAAATAAAGTAAGAGTGTGTGTGTGTGTGTGTGTGTGTGTGTGTGTGTGTGTGTGTGTGTG